AGTCCAAATCAAGGGTTGGTCACATCATCGCCAATGACATGCTACACGAAGCCACCACGAGATGCCGTGTGGATTGCCCATTTGACTCGCATTGTGACGGCGGAGATCATGATCCAGCACGTGCACAAGTGCAGTATTCCAGTTCGAAGGCGCCGCCGAGATTGCGAAGGAAACCACCATTTGACAGAGTTGCCGGGCCATGCTGAAAACACCAGCCTGCCCGAATGGATGATGGGTGTGAACGACCACCTTGATGTGGTCAATAGTGCAATTACTACTGCGTCGCAGGCATGCTTTGGCAAAGCTCGTCTGACCTCAGTCAAGGGCTACGTGGGCAAGCGGACGATGTGCTTGGTTAGATTACGCAGATACGTGGCTCGATCAGACGCTGGTTACCGCACCATACGGTGACGGAACCTCCATGGGCGGATACACTTGCACACGCTGAGGATCACCTACTCCGCCCAGCATCGTCAGCTTGCTGGGCCCCAGCAACAAGAACTCAGAAATCGGCGTGCGTAGCGAAGCGGGCGGACGTTGATTTCACGGCCCAGGCCTTCCAAATGTGCCTCGGCAGTTTCCTAAAAGCCACCTCGAAGATGGTGAGAAGTTCGGTGAATTGACCGAACTTCTCACATAGAGTCGCTGGCTAGACAGATGGACACATACGCAGCTTCAGGCGACAGCCACAGTGAGTGGCGCATGATGAAGATACCTCTACGTTATGGAGGCAGAGCTGGACGAGCTGATCGGTGCCCGATGCTAAGGAAGGATGGCATCACGGCGAGCTCCAACGCAGAGACAGAGGACATGGTTCTCAAACGCTTCGCGGACATCGAGGACGCGCAGGGGTTAGACGGCATGGAGCTAGGGCGCCTCTACAACCAGCGACTTCATCAAAATCCCGAGACAACGGATATTGACCCTCGCTTACTATCCTCACCATCGGTCGTGGGCGGCATGTTCACGACGGCGAAGAGGTGCAAAGCACAAGGGCAGGATGGCCTCAGCGGAGACATCCTTCGACAATTTCCGCAAGAACTAGCTCGACATTTTCATCCAGTCTTTCTCAAGACCAGTGTATACCAGCAGGAACCGTATTGGTGGAAACGCGGCACGGTGTACCCCTTGTTCAAAGGCACTGCAGCGACTCGCCATTGGAATTCTACCGGTCTATACTTCTGAACAGCACAGTGGCAAAGTGCTGGCAAAGGTTCATGCGTGATCAAGCCAGCGAATTTCTTGATATCTGGCTTCGTTCGACGCAGTGTGGAGGGGGGCCCCGTAAAGGTCCATCGGTTCTGGCGCAGATTGATTCCGCGTTTCGCATGGCAGCGGTGCACCAACAGCGGAGAGCTATTCTGTATTTCGTCGACCTGGTTTATGCATTCTACTCTGTAGCCCGAAGTTTGGTTCTACCCGCCACTTCTAACGTCGACGGCGACATTGCATATGTTGATGATAATCACGAGTTGCCGATTTGTAGGTTGCCACTCTTTTCCTTCATACTGAGTCAACCATCGGCTTTGGCGAATCTAGGAGCACCCCCAAATCTTCTTGCGCTTCCCATCGGGAGCCACCGCGACGCGCATTTCGGTGCGGACAGCTTACCGCAAGTGGCTCGATCAAGGAGAGGTTCGAGACCAGGCAGCTCATTGGCGGATGCAATATTCAACGCAGCTTTCTGCAAGCCACTTAGCGCAGTGGGCGAGGAAGTCCGTGCTCTAGGCTGCCGCTTCATGCAGAAGGGCTGCTGCAGACGTTTTCCCAGGGCGCGCAGGAGGAACCCATGGTCGACGCGTCGTTTGTAGTTGATGTTGTCTCAGCAGGCTCCGCCAGCCGCGATCGACCCGATCGAATTTTCTGGGGAAGTGCTCGGCGCAGCTCACAAGTGCATGCTGACGCATGGCTTCACACCCAACTACAAGCGTGCCAAATCAAGTTCATCATTCCTGGACCTCAACATTCTCATGGATTGCGACAAGAACTGGAGGTCAGCAGCGAGCAGGTGGTTGAATCGGACATATGGGGGGGGGGGGGGGGGGGGGTGGGGGGGGGGGGGGGGGGGGGGGGCACAGTTCATGCCGTTCGTGAGTGCAAATACCTGGGGACCATGTTAGACATGTTTGGCACGCTTGGCTGTCGTGCCGCGCGAGCGATACAGAAGCATCGGGTGGCCTTGGCCCCAATCAGGAGGATGTGCAAGCGCTTCGATGGCATGACACGACCTGCTCGTGCAAACCTAGTGGGCACGATGGCAAACGTCCACCTGCTGTACCTTGTGGAGGTTTGGGAATCTACACCGCAGTCGCTGCTACATAAGTTGGAACCAGCGCGGCTCAGGCTTACAGAGTTGTTCAAGGCCGTCAACATCACCGCGACGCAGAGGTACATCATACGGGCTTTGACATCCTGCGCTCGGCCAAAAATGTTCCGCTGGAGCTGATCTTTCGCAAGCGCAGGCCCATGCACTTCAGCTCGCCTTTCGCGGGGGCACCTGCTGCATTTCACTTCCTGACCGATCAGGCAGCATCGATGCCAGGCTTTTGGGCGAAATTGATTGAACCAGACTGCGCTTGGATTGCGACCTGCGACGCGGATGATACCCGGCAGCAGTGGACATCACGGCAGTGGTTTCTCTTTGCGCAGAATGGTGCCAGGGGCTTCAGGCACGCAATCAAGAGAGCTTGGGGCCCCGTGGTTTCAGCCATCCTAGAGCCCGTGCAGGTCGGGCACGGGCAAACGCGGCTTCAGAGCATGAGGGGACGACCATCACCATCAGCCAGTAATTACGAAGCTGATCTGCTACATCTGCGGATGGACCACCATGTCCGTGCCTGCATGCGGGAAACATCAGCTTGACCACCAACCCATCGATGATGCGCAGAGGGTGGCCAGGGGCACTCAGTGCAGTGCGTGCGGCACAATATTGTCTGACAGATCGAACCTTCTTCGTCACCTCCGAAGGCCTGGCAACACTTGCCTGAACAACCTGATTGGACAGGGGGACTTGCTGGAGCTGGAAGAGGCTGAATCACTTCGGCAGGGGGATCTCGTTCGTGAGCGTCTGATTACAAATGGGCTACACCCATCGCCGTGTCTTGTAGCATGCACAGCGGTCAACACACTGGGGGGGGGGGGGGGGGGGGCGTCGTGGCGCAGTTCACATTCCGCAAGTACCGCCAGCAGTGCAGCGATCCGTCCATCGAGAAGAAACACAGCTACAGTGGCTATGTGGCACACCAGGGCGGCAACAACTCTATCATGTTTTCTTTGGGTATTGTATGGTTTTTGGTATTTCAGACTGGGCTGACCGAGTTACGGGACAGCATGTCGAATCCATTCGTGTTCCGGTTTGTGACGCTGAAGGAACTTTGACGATCTTGAGTGACAACGAAGTCAGATAGATGATGAGTGATATGGCTAAAGGGGAAGTTGCTGGACTCATACTCTAACCGTCTACAGCTACCTGGGGGAGTTCTGATCATGGTAATGTGCAGAGTAAAGCTTTGAGGGCTGATGTGCACCCATGGGGCATACCTACACTTGGTGAACATTGTCGGCGACGGCCCCGTGCAGAAAACAGTCAGTTCAAAGCATCGTGGTCACTGTTGGAGGCTGCATACATCACTGGAGTGGCAGCATGTTTAGTTCTGCCAGATGACGATTTCACGAAGACCTGCGAGGTGGTGCCCGACATTGGCAATATGGTAGGCAGTACTTTTGAGGTGGTGCGGGTGGACCTCTGCATGGTGGGGGGAGACAGTATGCTCCCGACGGCCCTGGTTCACACGCACATGACATTCAACCTGGGGGCTGAGAGATCGCGCTGCACACACCCTGTACATGCTGCAGCTGAGCACCTGAAGGCCTGGCCGCATGGCCTCTCCCGTGTGCTCGCGAAGGCTCTTGCTGCGTCCAGCATCCCTGCACAGACTTTGGCTGCTCGCAGGAGGCGCTCGTCCTCTGCCTTGCAGCCCAAAGGATGACTTTGGTGGGGGGGGCTGGATGATCAGGATGAGATGCACAGGATGATATGTTGTTGTTGCCTGCAGCCTGCGTGCTGTGTCTGCTGCCGATCTCTCGTGGCTTGTTAGACGCGCGAGGCGAACTAGTGAGGGCGGTGCGGAGGCGGAGCGAACGAGCCTGGCGTAATGGGCTCCCCTCGCGCCCGCCCCCTGCTTCTGTCCAGCCTCCCCCGCCCCGTCTCCATCATCATCGCTGCTGCTCCTTGCTCCACCTCACGTGGCGTCGGCCTGCTGGCCGCCTGTACTTGCAGGGGGGCCTCCGCGTTGCTCGTGGAGGCCGCCCGTTTCGCTCGACCAGGTCCCTTTCGTCTTCCAGGCTCCTTAGTTAGTCCTTGCTGTCCTTGTTCTTCAACGACCTGGCCGAGCGATCCAGTACCCGGTTCCGGAGCTGTGGGGGTGGCGGTGGAGGCCCCGTGGCTCGTGACGCATTGGAGCGGAGAAAAAAATCAACGACCTGGTCGAGCGACCTTCGCTGTTTCTCGCGTTAACGCGAGAAACAGCGAAGTTGTCGTGCTCCCGCCTGTCTGTCTAAGGCCTTTGGGAGCACGGACCAGGCGCCTGTCCTGTTGCCTGCCGCCGGCAGGCTTCCTTCCGCCACGGGCGGGTGCGCTCAGCGGCTTGTGCAGAAAAAAGTTGGAGGACGGGAGGGTGTCTTGCAGTTTGGTTGGCGCATCTTGGGTTGACCCCGGGCCTCCTCCTCATGCTCCTCCTTTTGCTGCCCATCCTGTTCCTTCTCTTGCTCCTCCCCCGTTCCTCCTCCGCTCCTCCTCTGGTCCTCCTCAGTTCATCGTCCTTCTTCTTCTTCTTCTCGAATTTTTCCTCCTCGACTCCCCCTTCTCCTCCTCCTCCTCCTCCTTTGTTCCTCCTTCGTTCCTCCTTCGTTCCTCCGTCGTTCCTTCTCCTCCTCCTCCTCCTTTCCTCCTCCTCTGTATCCCTTCCCCTCCCGTTCAGTCCTGGCCAACTGATTGGGAGGCTGGCGGCTTCGTCACCAGCGAGGGCCGCGTGGACGGGAACCTGAACTTGTCCCGGGCGCTGGGCGACTTCGCGTACAAAAAGGAGGGGCACGTACAGAGAAGGAGGAGGAGAGGGAGGAGGAGAAGAAGGAGGAGGAGGAGGAGGAGGAGAAATAGGAGGATCGAAGGAGGAGGAGGAGGAGGAGGAGGAGGAGGAGGAGGAGGAGGAGGAGGAGGAGGGGGGGCAGCATCAGCAGGAGAGCAGGAGGAAGGGGAGGGCCCCCAGGCCCCGCACGTTCCACAGGTCCCACAGATTTCGCAGGCATCGCAGGTACCAAGAGTATCGCAGGTCCCACAGATCCCACGGGTCCTGCTACAGCTGCCAGAGGCCCCGCAACTCCCACGGGTGTCGCACGCCCCACGGGTCCCACAGGTGCCGCAGGTCCGGTAAACCCGCAGAACCCACAGGTAAACCAGGCAACCAGGTCCCATGTCGCCTTTGCTGCCAGGCCTTGCTGAGGTAATCGTGCTTTCCGTGTTGCCAGAACTCCTCTCCTGGGAAGGAGTTTCTGTGCCCCGATCCCACCGTCCAGCGTTTTGTGTTTTCCGAGAGGAAGAGGCAGATGAGGAGGAGCAAGAGGAGGGGGAGGAGGAGGAGGAGGAGGAGGAGGAGGAGGAGGAGGAGGAGGAGGAGAGGAGGAGGAGGAGGGGGAGCTGTAGCAGCAAATGCAGGAACTCCCCAGTTCCAGCTCCAACTTCAGCTCAGCTCCAGCCCACGCCCCAGATCCAGCTCGAGCCTCGCTCCAGCACCAGCCCCGGGAAACACGAACCCCAGGGAGCTTTGCGTTCCTGTTGAAACCGCTGAACCCCGTATGCCCTTCAGACTCCATGAGACATGTGACCATGTGACCCTCATGAGCAATACGAGACTCGTGCGCCCCGGAACCTTCGGGAGACCTTTCAGACCCGAGGCGCCCGCCACCTCTGAAAGCTCTGGGACCGCGCCGCCTCATTTCCCCATTCCCAATTGACGGCGATGGCGGTCGCAGCGTACCTCGCTGCCGCCATGCGACCAAGATTGTAACGGCGAAGCGTAGCGAGCTGGTTGAGTCTTGTATGCATCATGTGTGTATATACACAAGACTACATTGGCGCCTCGCGCCATGCACCTTGGTACTTCACGCACGTGTAACATGCAGGCAGGCTGAGAGAGAGGTGGATCAATCAAAGCAGCGATCGTTTTTAGTTGCAGTTTTCCTCATCGTGGTTCCTTTTCCTTCGCTCATGCACCCTCTTCCTCTTCCTCATTCTCGCCCTCCGAGGCGAGCTTCTGGAGGACCTCGCGAAAGCTTTTCAGGGGCTCCTCTGGAGACGTCCCTGGCGCCTTTTGGCGGCCTCTGGGGGGTTCCTCGGGCCACCATGCCGCGAACCGTGGTCTCGGGTTACGGTTTGAATACTTCCGGAGGGTGTCTCGGGGCGTTTTTGGCCCGTCATGGGGCCCTCTGGGCAGTTTCTGAGCCCTTTTGGGCCGGCTTGGGGCTGTCTTGGATTGTCTGGAGACCTTTCTTGTCGTCTTGGAGCGGTTTTCGGTACCTCTCGGGCGTTCTCGGACGCCCAGAAGACCGAATAATCGAGTAGCCCAAAATCATACAAAAACCAACGGGAAATCAACATTTGTTTTTGGGGGTGATATTTGGGCCGTCGTCGGGCGTCTGGCGCGGGTCCGGGGCCGCTGGAGGCCATCTTGGACCGTCTTGGGCGTTTGCGCGGCGCGGCAGGGACTTCCAGAGGCCCGGACATCTCGCGTGACCCTCTGGCTCTGAGGGGGTGCCTACGAATTCCAGACGCTGGGGATCCCGTTTCGGGGAGGGGGTCCGCAGAGTCCCAGATAATAAAATTATCTCAGTGCGACCCAACCTAGGAGTTGGAGCCCCTAGGAAAGCAGCATTAGTAGTAACAGTAAAGCTAAGCTAAAGCTAAGCTAAAGCTAAGCTAAAGCTGAGCTAAAGCTAAGCTAAAGCTAAGCTCAAGCTAAGCTAAAGCTAAGCTAAAACTAAGCTAAAGTTAAGCTAACGCTAAGCTAAAGTTAAGCTGAAACTAAGCTGAAGCTAAGCTGAAGCTGAGCTAAAGCTAAGCTAAAGCTAAGCTGAAACTAAGCTAAATCTAAGCTAAAGCTAAGCTAAAGGTAAGCTAAAGCTAAGCTAAAGCTGAGCTAAAGCTGAGCTAAAGCTGAGCTAAGCTAAAATTAAGCTAAAGCTAAGCTAACGCTAAGCTAAAGCTAAGCTAAAGCTAAGCTAAAGCTAAGAGAAAGCTAAGAGAAAGCTAAGCTAAAGCTAAGCTAAAGCTAAGCTAAAGCTAAGCTAAAGCTAAGCTAAAGCTAAAGCTAAAGCTAAAGCTAAAGCTAAAGCTAAAGCTAAAGCTAAAGCTAAAGCTCCCAGGGGACTGGGGGAACCGCTCCCAGGGGACCGGGGGAACCGCCCGGGGCGGGGCCCACTGCCCGGCCAATTAAGCTAACAGAGTAATAACCCTTCTAGGCAGAGCCTAGGTAGGGAAAAGGGGCACGTGTCAAAAGAGTTACAGTCAACAGCCCTAATGAGGACGTGCGGCTTTGCTCAGGGTACCCTTGCGTCCTTGCTCTTCCTTGCTCTTGCATCCTTGAGGTTTTCGTCGTCCGCCGCCTCAAAAATCCCAACTTCGGCTTCCAAGGGTCTCGCGTCCTCACCGCGCGTCCTTATCAGGGTTTTTGACTGTAAGATCGACGAGTCGGGCTAATTTTTTGCTGGCTTTGCCACGGGCGTCCTGGGCCGAGGAAACATACGATATGCTTCGCCGGGCCCACCGTCGGAGACCCCCCCTGGCTCCTGATCCGCCCTACTTTTGGGCATTTCGTAAGTAGGGCTTGGAATTTCCGACTTCTTGTTCAAGCCCCGCTGATGCCAATTTCCGCCCTGCTTTTCTGTTGCTGTTTCCGCCCTGCTCTTGTGGATTTTCCGCCCTACTTTCATGTTGGGTGCAGAAATTTCTGCCCTACTTTTTCGGCTTCTTATAGGTGGATTTCCGACGCAATTGTAAGTTGGAAAAAACCCAAGGTAGGGCGGATCTGGAGTCAGGGCCTTCCAAGTTCGGTGGTCGCCGTCCGATCCCAGGCTTGCGCTGGTCGGCCCCGCGGGAAAGACCCGAAGTTCGAGCGAACCGAGCAGCAGATTCCTCGCTTCGCAGGGTGCACGACTGGACCACGCACAGCCTGGTCGTTGTGGGGACTCCTGGGGGCCTCTCGGGGGCCTCTCGGAGGCTTCTTGGGGGCCTCTTTGGGGCTTCTTTGGGGCGCCTTGGGCAGTCTTGCAGCGCCCCTGAAGGACACCGAGCTGACTCCTCTTCCTCGTCCCCTCCCTCCTCCTGCTCATCCTCCTCCTCCTCCTCCTCCTCCTCCTCCCGCCTCCTCCTCCTCCTCCTCCTCCTCCCTCCTCTCTCTCTCTCCTCCTCCCCTCCTCCTCCCTCGCCTCCTCCTCCTCCTCCTCCTCCTTCTCCTCCTCCTCCTCCTCCTCCTCCTCCTCCTCCTCCTCCTCCTCTCCTCCTCCTCTCCTCCTCCCTCCTCCTCCTCCTCCTCCTCCTCCTCCTCCTCCTCCTCCTTCCTTCCTTCCTTCCTTCCTTCCTTCCTTCCTTCCTTCCTTCCTTCCTTCCTTCCTTCTTTCCTTCCTTCTCCTCCTCCTCCGCCTCGTCCTCCGCAAAGCAGAGTCCGCATCCTTTTCCTCCTCCTCCTCCTCCGCAGAGCAGAGGGGGAGGGGGAGGGGCTGGCTGGGTGGCCAGTTGGGCGGCGTTCGCATCCTCGGGCACGGATGCTTTCAGCCTGCCCGACCAGGCAGGCGGAGACCTCCCGCGACGGAGCACCCCCACGCCGACCACTGAGCCTCCAGACGGGCGGGCCCATGCCCGCCTCCGGTGCCTGGAACGCCCGCAATGGATGGGACAGCGACCACCGTCGGGGGCGGGATGGGCTGGCGGAGAGGCCGCATCGCAGCTGCCGGGGGCTTCGCCCTGCCCCCCCCCGCCCCCCGCAGTCAGAGCAGCGTGCGCGAAGCACCACCGCAGGCAGGCAGACAGGGATCGGGTATAGCCAGGACCCGGGGCAAGGGGACCGGTAGTGGTAGGGCCCTGGGGCCCCCCAATTGGCCAGATTCACTAAACCAGGTTTGCCGTAACTGGTGTTTCTCGGGTGACGGCAGTTCCGGTTAGTGGAAGTGGGACGGGGGGGCGCCCCCAGTACAAATCACTAAACCAGGTTCCACTAAACCCAGTTCTGCCAACGCCCGAGAGGAGGGGGTCCCCGGCCCCTCCCCGGGAAGCCGACAGAGCTCCCAGCCCAGCCCAGTCTGGCCGACGTCGCCCCCCGTTGCGGCTGCGTCCCTGCTGGAGAGACGGCCCTGCGGAGGGAGTGCGCCGCCGGAGGGAGGGAAGGAGGTGGAAGGGAGGGAAGACGCGGCGAGCAGAAAGGGGGGGAGGAGGGGGGAGGAGGAGGAGGAGGAGGAGGAGGAGGAGGAGGAGGAGGGGAGGAGGAGGAGGAGGAGGAGGAGGAGGAGGAGGAGGAGGAGAGGAGGAGGAGGAGGAGGAGGAGGAGGAGGAGGAGGAGGAGGAGGAGGAGGAGGAGGAGGAGAGGAGGAGGAGAGGAGGAGGAGGAGGAGAGAGGAGGAGGAGGGGAGGAGGGGACAAGGAGGAGGAGGAGGAGGAGGAGGAGGAGGAGGAGCCCCCAGGGGGAGACCTCGGTGCGGGGCGGCGCATCGGGGCCCCTGGGGGAACTGCAATCCGCCATGTCGTCGCTTGCGGCGCCGTGGTCCTGGGGGGTTGGTTCCCTGGCGGGCCTGGGGCGGCCCCCCGACTCCGCCGGGCTGTCCCCGTTGGGAGTCGGTCTGCCGTCTCAGGTCCCCCGGGGACCCGACGTTCTAGGGCCGCGTGGGTAGCCCCCCAGGGCTGGCGCGGGCTGGTTCTCCAGTCCGCGTCGGCCTGCGTGGTACCAGCCTGCGCGGGGGCTGGCTCTGGCCACTGTTGGGGCCCGCCCCTGACGTCGGGGTGTCGGGTGTGGCCAGGGGGTCGGCTCTTTTTGAGAGCACGGCTCAAGACGTGTACCGCCTGGCCCCCCTTGGGCAAGGGGGCCTGTGGGGGCGGGCCTGGCTACCCATGTGCGGTAACACGCGCCGTGTGCCCCGCACGGTGGCGTGGGGTAGCCTGTGTCCCCTGGTGCAGGAAGAGCCAGGGATGCATGGGGGCTGGCCACCTTCGGTGGTCGGTGCTGCTCATCGAGCAGCACGTGTGAGGCCGGCGCCTCCTCTTTTCCCCCCCTCCTCCTCGCTCTCCTTCCCTCCTCCTCGGGCCCCGTCGGCGTGGCGGTCGCTAGCTCCAGGTGATCGCGGGGTGGGCAATGCCCCACGCTGTGTAGTCAGGACTGAGGGACCTCGCCTCCCTTGCTACTTTGATTCGCGCGCAGGAGCAGGAGGAGGAGGGGGAGGAGGAGAAGGAGGAGGAGGAGGAGGAGGAGGAGGAGGGGGGGAGGAGGAGGAGGAGGAGGAGGAGGAAGCCCCAGCCCACCCCACCCCAAGCCGACACGCGCAAGAGTAGCGCTGCCGAGAGGGAGGGAGGGAGGGAGGAATATGAGGAGTTGGTTTACTGGTGTATTGGTTGATTGGTGCATGAAGGTGGAGGTACGTTTGGACCCCTCCCTGCAGCCGTCTTCGTTGGCCGAGGGGCTGCAGGGAGGTCCCCGGCCCCCTCCATTGGCTATTGGCGCCGTTGAGTATTGGTGTATTGGTGTATTGGGTGGAGAGGGCGACCCCAGCGGCCCCTATGATGGCAGCCGCAGGGGGTGTGAGGCCTATGATGGTCCTCACTGGTGAGGTCTATGATGGCCGTCACCGGGGTGGGGGTGGGGGCAGAGGGCAGAAAATCGAAACGGATGTCCGGCAGCAACGTCCTGGGGGGATACTTGAACAGGGGCCTTAGAAACAACGTTTGTCCTCCGCTTATGTTCCAGAGGAGCCCCGCTCAAAAAACAGAGGCAGAGAGAGAGGGAGATAAGAGAGAGAGGGAGAGAGGGAGAGAGAGAGAGAGAGAGAGAGGCAGAGAGAGGCAGAGAGAGAGAGGAAGAGAAGAGAAGAGAGAGAGGAAGAGAGGGAGAGAGAGAGAGAGAGGCAGAAACAAAGACGAGGACATATGTACACGCCTCGGGGGGGGGTCGGCCCCCGGCCCCGGAAGATACGAAATACACAGATTTCGTATCACGAGGTAGCTGGCAGCGAAGCTGCATCATGGCACCCCGGGAGCGTGCAGCGGCAGGGATGCGCCACCTGGAGTGCGGAAGCGAAACGCGGTGACGTTAACCCGGCCGAAGCCCAGTGACCAGAGGAGGCCCCCAGAGGCCGACAAGGGTCACAGGCCGGAGGTATCCACAACCTGTATCCCCGTGGGTGCGATTTATTTTCTCCGCCGGCACGGATGGACCGGTACACCCAAAAGCACGGAGATTCGACAGCGGATAGGCCGGTACACCCAAAAGAAAAACTTGGATGGATCGGTACACCCAAAAGCACTTATTGACTTTATCCCACGGGGTGGAATACCCGCAGGGGCATACACCCATAACCCACGACACACACCACACAGAGACACACACACACACACGCACACACACGACCACACACCCCCAATCAGAGGCGTAGAAAGTCCCAGCCCCCCGCGTGCAGCTGATGGGGCGACCCCAGCGGCAGTGGAGGCCTCCAAAGGTCCTGGCAGGGAAACCTGAAGGAGTGAAGTAATGACGCGGATCCGCTCAGAGGGGGAAGTGGGAGGGGAAAGGAGGGGAGAGCGGGGAGGGGGAAGAGGGAGGGGGAAGGGCGGAGAGGCGGGGTGCAGAGAGGAGAGGAGGGCCAGGGGAGGGGGGGCGGGGACGGGGAACGTTTCTTAGAGAAAGGCGGGGGGGGGAGGATGAGGGGAGTAGCCCCAGCCACACACCTGCGCCCCAAGTGGCAGACGGAGGTGGCTGGGAGGGTTTTACATACCCGTCCTTGGAGAGCTCGGTTAAAAGGCGGCGGGCGGGAACGACCTCATGAGTGACGCCGCGGCGGCATATGTGACACCGCGGCGGCACGGGTCGAACCGTCACCCTTGGTGTACTGGTGTACTGGGTTGGCAACTGACGCCACAGAGTATTAGATTACTGACATTGACAGGCACCGTCAGCCGGCAGGGGATAAATCCCGTTCACGGCCCCATGGAGGCATATGAGGAGTTGGTTTACTGGTGTATTGGTTGATTGGTGCGTGAAGGTGGAGGTACGTTTGGACCCCTCCCTGCAGCCGTCTTCGTTGGCCGAGGGGCTGCAGGGAGAGGTCCTCGGCTCCCTCCATTGGCTATTGACGCCGTAAAGTATTGGTGTATTGGTGTATTGGTGGGAGAAGGCGACCCCAGCGGCCCCTATGATGGCAGCCGCAGGGGGTGTGAGGCCTATGATGGTCCTCACTGGTGAGGTCTATGATGGCCTTCACTGGCAGCCGTCTTCGTTGGCCGTTCGGGAGCTCCCGAGCGAAGTGAGCCCCACCCTCCCCCTCAGAACTCGTGGGGGGTGGGGGCAGGGCTCGCCTGTAAGCCCCCTTAGCCTTGGGGCCCGGGCCTCCGACGTCGCGAGGAGCCCACGACGAAGGCTTTCGACAACCCTCGGCCTCTGGAGGCCACGATCCTCCTCCTCCTGCTCCTCCTCCTCCTCCTCCTCCTGCTCCTGCTGCTCCTCCTCCTCCTCCTCCTCCTCCTCCTGCTCCTCCTCCTCCTCCTGCTCCTCCTGCTCCTCCTCCTCCTCCTCCTCCTCCTCCTCCTCCTCCTGCTCTTCCTCCTCCTGCTCCTCCTCCTCCTTCGAGCCGAAAGCCCACGACAACTCTCGGCCCTTGCGGTCAGCACCGCGGGCAGGACCCGAAGCTGAAGCAGACCGAGCAGAAGATCTCCTGCGAGGCGGAGATGCGCACCCGCGCGCTCACGGCCGCCGACCGGTGCCCCCCGCCCTTTGCCCTGCTCACCGCGCCCAGAGGGCTGCGGGTGCGGGGGAGGGGGGGGACGAAGAGGCTGGAGGGGGGAGGAGGAGAAGGAGGAGGAGGAGGAGGAGGAGGAGGAGGCGGAGGAGGAGGAGGAGGAGGAGGCGGGAGGAAGGGGAGGAGGAAGAGGAAACGAGTGGAGCCGAGGGGAATGGAGCGGAGCACCATGAGAATGTCATGTTGTCATGCTACGACACCCGTCATGTTGTCCTCCTGTTCCTCCTCCTCCTCCTCCTCCTCCTCCTCCTCCTCCTCCTCCACCCTTACCCTCCTTCCCCCTCCTTCCCTATCCTCATCCCCATTCCATCCTTGCTCCTCGCAAGTAACTCCTCCGTGTCCATTCTGGCTCAAGCCGCGCCGGGCCCCCCCCGCGGCGGCGCTTGGGCAGTGACGGCAGTTGGGCGCGGCCTGGACCTGGTCGCGCTGGCCCCGCTGGTGCAGGCGGCGGCCTCGGGTGCAGCGGCTGGTGGCGGTGGGCGTCACGTGGTCGCGGCCGCGGTGGCGGCGGCCGCTCGGGTCGGCGCTTGGCGTCCAGCTTCTGGTCCACCCGCAGCACCATGGCGAGCTCGACGAGGAGGTCGACGCAAGGCAGGCCGTGCCCAGGCCCGCCTGGCGGCGGCAGTCGCGGCGGGGCGGCGAGGCGAGGTGGCCGCGCACTCTGGGGGGGAGAGGAAGGCCTTCCGTGACGTCGCACTGCACGCGGCGCTGGGCGCTGGGGCAGAAGCGCTCCCCGTCGCCGCGGCGGAGGCGAAGCGCAAGTGGCCTAGCAGGCAGCGAGCGCCCGCCATGGAGGTGACGGTCCCGCTGCAAGAGTACGTCATCGGATCGGGCTCTGGCAGCGGCGGTGCCGACTGGCCCCAGGTGAAGGCCACTGCTGCGAGGAGCGCGAAGTCCGAGAGAACCGTCTCGGAGTGCGGGTCCGTGGACGGGTTCGCGGGTCGGCCCCATGTCTTCGACATTGCCTCGGAGAGCGGCTCGGAGGTCCCGTTGGCCGAGGAGGGCATCTGGAAGTCCGGCGGCGTGTGCAGCGCCGGGAACTTTGGCGAGAGCGTTGCCGAGTTGAAGGCGCTCGCCGACACCCTGGCCGAGGAGCTCTTGGAGGCCAGAGCTGCAGCCTGCGCTGCCGGGGTGCCGGGGCGACGAAGGACATGGTCGAGGCTGACCGACGCCGCTGTCCAGGAGGGGGCCAGGATGATGGGTGCAAAGGTGCTGGCGCAGATCGCGTCGATGCCGCTGCTCCCGCCTCTCCCAGAGCTGGGGAGCGCCGTGACGGACGCGAGCAGGGACCGCGCAGAAGGCCAGCGCGCCGGAGCGCGTCGGCGGCGTGCCGGAGGCGCCCCGCGGGGCGCTGGGCAAACGACCTGAGCGATGCCACCAAGCTGGCCGTGGAGGCAGAGGCGATGCTGGACGTGGCCGAGGTGACGACCAGCGCGGGCGGCGCCGCCCCTCCCTGGCGACGGAGGCAGAGGTGCCGAAGGGCGAGGCCGAGGGCATCGCAGGGTGCGGCGCCGGGGACGAGGTCGACGGCTCCGGCCTTGGCGCCGCCGGCATGGCCTCTCTGCCCCTCCCAGCGAGAAGTCCCTCGTGAGCGGGGGCCGCCTGCGGGGCAGGGCTCCGTGCAGGCGATGGCTGAGGCAGCTGCCGAGGTCCTGGAGGGCGGGGCCAGGGCGGAGGCCGTGAAGGGCGTGCAGGGCTGGCTCGAGGAGTGCGGAGGGCAGTCTTGTGTCTATCCCCCAGAGTTTCTCGCCGACGAGGGGTGGGACTGAGTGCCCCACATGCCGAGGGTGGTCGTGGCGGAGCTCGAGAACATCGGCCTCGCCGGAAAGGGCGACCCCGCGGTCGCGCTGCTCGTGGGCGAGTTCTGTGCCTCGGTGGAGCTTTCGGGGCGCTCGAAGCAGTCGTGGGGACGATAGAGGTGCAGATGGCAGCGGGTTGCTCCTGTGCGCAGGTGCTCGACGTGAAGATTCGGAAGCCGATTTTTGATCCCAAGGGCCTTTTCTCAGTGGCCCCCATCGAGGCTGTTTTAGCCGCCGCCCCCATTCGAGTTCCAGTCGCCCCCCTTCCCGTCCTCTGCGACCCCTCTCTTCGCCCAGTGCTACTCTCCAGGCGATGTTGCGCGCCTGCCCCCCCTCTCCTTCTCCTGATTGACGCCATGAGGAATCCCGAGGAGCTCGCTTGCGGGGGGGTGCACGCTCAGTCTCATTGCCGGCTAGATTCGATGGGTGCCAGCTGCTGCTTACAGTCGGGGCCCTGAAGAGGGAACCCTTTTGGTTGGGGAGGGGCTCCGCGTTCCTTAAGTGTTTCACAGCTTGCCTCAGGTTTTCCTTATGTTTTCGATATGAAATCGAAGTTTAACTTATGGAAAAAAGGGGCCTCGTTCCTTATTTAGGGTTCCTTAGGTCAACGCCCCGACTGGATTCGGCAGGAGTTGGTGCCTGTTTTGTTTAAAGGCTGCCCATCCTGGCAGCAGCGCACCGCCATCTTGCCCAGCGATGGAAACAAAAAAAAGGAGCTCGCTTCGCGGGGGCGCGGATGGTGCGGCGCGGGGGTCCAGGCCGTCGCCTCTCTCCCGCTCCCCCTCCCTCCTCCCCCCCCCCGGCGTCGGGCGAGCTCTCTGGGCGCCGTGGGCCGGGCGGGCGGTGCCCGAGGAGAGCAGTACGAAGTCTGGCCTGTCCCTCCACAGGGGGAACCTTCCAAACTAGTCAAACAATAGGATGGAGACGATCTGTCTGGCATTTTTGGGGGCAATTTCAGGGCATGGTTTGGGCATGTCTGATATTTCTTCCAGAATCCGCCTGTGGGGGGGCATGCCCGACTTAAGTGTGATATGGATGGCGCGCGCGGCGTGACGATCGTTTGGCGAAAGAGAGCGCTGCTCAATCTATCTGCGTAGCTTTAAGGCCAAGGGCCCTAGTTCGAAACAAAATGGCAGCGACAAGGCGGGCATGAGGGATAGAGCGGGAGAGCAGGGAAGGAGCAGAAGGGCACGGGGAGTGAGCGGGAATCACACTCCTCCTGATCGACGCTCGCGGCGCCGTCGAGCGACGATCACCGATCGCAGCTCACTTCATTAATCAGGGCGCTCCAAAACAAACACAGGCAAACGGCCTTGTCGGCATGCTATCCGGCTGCCTCTGGGCATTTAACGGGTGCTGCTACACGCACCGGCAAGAAACAAATAAATTCTCAAAGCAAACAGCAGCGCGAGTCCGATCGCTATGCGACAAAACTCAAATAGCGCTATCTTATCAAGATGAAGTCTTAATAGTGTGGTCGTCACCACATAAAAAAACTGTGCACACTGAATGAAGCTTCGAACAATGCGGACTAGCGTAGTCTGCCACAAGATGTGGCACCAGGTGTAAAAAAAACGAACTGGTAAGACAATTCGGACTAACGTAATCTGCCACACGATGTGGCGCCAGGTGTAGGGAAACCGAGCTGACAAAACGATGCGGACTAACGTAATCTGCCACACAGTGTGGCGCCAGGTGTAGAGCGGCGGCGTGCATCACGAAATCTTCTTTTGAGCTTTCGCCTTGCCGGGCAACCCCTGTAGCTGCCTCCATCTATTCTGCAAATCCCAGCGCAGATTATTGTGCATCCTCGAAAAGTCTGGCTCATGGGTCATGTGGTTCCTGCGAAGCCATGACGCATGTTTCCGGCACGTCCTGCAGGTTATGTAAACACCATGCGTGTTGTGTCCCACGCGTATGTTGTGCTCGGCGATTACACATGCGTTCATCTCCGATGGCGAAACCGTTGGCGTCGATCCGTTCCACGAAACCACACTGGCTGACGAAGAACTGTGAACCGTCATCGGCGATGATGGCGCAGAACTCGCTCCCTGCGCGAAGCTGTCCGGTGATGGTGGCGGTGCGGCTGGCGCTGCCGATCCGCTTGCTGATGATGAACTCTGGGCTGCGACGGCAATCCTCGGCGGCTCCATGTAGACATCTCCGTCGGCGTCTTCGGGAATGGTAGGCGGAACGTTGTTGTGGCGTCCAAGGTATCGTCCATCCCATCCTGGATATACTCCGGGCAAGGGGGTGTCTGCGTGCCCGGTGTGGTCAGCCTTGGACCCATTGCTGGTGTTGTTGATGGTCCCGATCTGAATGGGATTGGGGTCGCCTGCCCCAAATATCTCTCTTCGCACCACAAACCACAGCGCTGCGAACAATGTAAGTCCAATCATGATTCCACTGAGCATCGCGATGAATGTCATATAGTAGACCCAATATGATATCGGCACTTGCCACTCCTGCGAGGGAGGCTGTGCCTTCACGCGTCCGAGACAGGTCATCAGCACTGAGGCAAGCATAGCGGCGTGCGGTTGCCTAGTGCCAAAGTTGTGCTTCTTGGCCCCGAAGAAAGCGAGGAGCACTCCGGTCTCCATGATCTTGGTGAGCGCGTCGGCGACCATACTCCACGTAGGTATCCACGAGAGCTTCAGCTGGCTGTTGGGGTGCACCGTCTCCTTGATCATCGATGCCACGATGCGGAACCGCTTGTCCGTGGATTGACCCACGTCAGACTTGATGTGCGTCACCAGGCCGTTGCTGTCGCTGTAGATCTCCCCGGATCGTTTGGTGCTGAGGTCGTCGATCTGCTTGAGCGTCTTCTTCGGGTTGTAGGCCTCCGTGAGTAGCTGGCCGAACCACGTGCTCGACTCGGCGCCCTCCAGAGTAGCGTAGCCCTCGGCGGCCAGCGTCGACTTCACGGATCGCTTGACCGTGCCCGAATGCCAGGCCACGGGCAGGCACAAATCATATCGTCCGGCCACGACGTCCCGTGGCTTGTGAGTTAGCCCAATCGCCATGCCCCACTGGCTCTTCACCCCGTCCACATTGGCGAAGGCCGCGTCGCTGAAACAGATAATGGTGCAAGTGCGCAGGTCGATGATGTTGCGCTTGATGACGATGGCGAAATCGGCGGACCCGTGCACGTAAGCGACGGTCTTGTTCAGCGTCTTGGCGTCGGCCACGGTGGCGGTGTTGGTGCGGCGAGCTGCAAGGCTCACCGGGCAGGCGATGTCCATTCGCGTCTGTACTGCGAGCCAAAGCAGTTGACCGAGTGTGTGGCGATATCCCGAGACCTCCGAGGTAGTAAGCCGATCCTCTAGTGATCGCCCGCGTTGAGCGTTGAGTTCAATGAAATCCACCTGGGCGGCGGCCGTCGCCTGGGTAATGCGGAACTCCTCGTTGATCTTGTTGATGGTCCGGCCGCAGTACTTGATGATTCCCTCTACCTTCTTGAGGTGCAGCTTCTTCTGTAAGGAGCTGATGACTCGCTTCCACTCGCTCGAGCTTCCGCGCTGGGCGATGAGAAAGTCGTCCACATGGGAGTGGATCATGGCAGCGAGCCCTCTGTCGTCGTAGAAGTAGTAAAGGCCCTTCTCGAGCTTGCTCTCGATGAGGCCGTGCTCCTGGAACACCTTCTGGGCGTAGAGGTACCGCTGACGTCCTGCATCTCGGGTACCATAGATGGCGCCAGTCGCCATCACGATCTCACCGGGCAGTGTGCCTGGCGGCGGGTTCTTGGCTGGCATGCGTAGCAGTAGCAGCCTCTCGATGTTGCCGACTGCAGGTAAGCCGTCATCGCGTCGTACGACGTGAGGTCCCAGCCAAGCTGGGCGGCGGCAGCGAGCGTGAGGTAAAGCGCGTCCCTTGACCCGGTCGGCGCGTCCGTACGGATCTGGGACTTGTCCTCTTGACAGCCCTGGACGACAAGGCGGGCCTTCATGAGGTTGGCGGCCTTCTGCGTGAGCACCCAGCGGGTACCAACTGGTCGTATTCCAGGGTGTCGCTGGAAGATCTCCTTCAGCTCCTTGGGCGGCAGCTTCTTGTAGGCCCCGAACTCGGTCCACTTGGACCGCTCGACCTTCATGGCCGTGTCCATGATCTTCTTGTCCTTGGCGGAGAGTTTGTCGTACTTGATCTCCTTAGCAGCGGCCTTTCCGGTGAGCATAACCTCCCGGAGTCGGATGGTCGAGCGCAAATCGTCGTCGTTGACCTCAAAGTAGTTGTCCAAGTAGAGGTCGGTCGTGAGTGTGTCTTTCGGCCTCTTGAAGCACTTGGGTAGGTCGTCCTTGAGACTCTCCAAGAATTCCTTGCGCTTGATGGGTTTGCTGCGATCGTCTGTCTGGTCGTGCCTGTCACGTTGAAGTGCGCGAGGTGCGTCCTCTTGTTGAGCTTGGCGCTGAGCCTTGTTGCCGCGTTGTCCTTCAGGATGTTGTGGTCTGCGGGCAAAGGCTTCTCTGCGAACTTCCTCCTCCGCGGCCTTGCTCCAGTCGCGTAGCCCTTCGGATCCGGAGCTGTCGGCGTCCGATGAATGTCCATCAGCTTCTGTGCGTCGAGCTCCTGGTGGTGGAAGTCGTACTCCATCGCGTTCTTCAGGCTGTTCGTCGTGTACTTCTGGTTGCACGGCGGGTTCTGGAGCTGGATCTTCAGCGCGATCTGGGTCTTCTTGGGCTTGTATTTGAGCATGAGCGGGGTCATGAGCGGGGTCAGCGGCAGCAGCTGAGTCAGAAACAGGCGCTGGCAGCCCGGGAAGGTCTCCTCCCGAAGGTGCTGGTGCTGAACCGCTGCCTGAGGCGCCCCCGCTTGTCGTATATTCTTCATCTACTTGCCGTCGGCGAATCCACTCAAGGGTAGCATGAGCGCGGCGATTGTGTGGGGTATCTTCGATGTTGCCGAAGTTGTGCTGCTTGATAGCCGTCGGCGGAGGTGGTAGTGCTGGCGGAGCGTTTTCCACTCGCGGGCGTTTC